ATGGGCAACTCTCTATGATTCACAGGTTTCATTTGGTGCTATCATTCTCTGTTCCCTTTCCTCTTACTGTGATTTTTCAAATAGTTAGACAGGGAAAAGACAAACACACAGAAAACAAAGAACAGCATCATGATGCATTTCAGCATCTGCATAACAGACTTTACATTCACCCACTCCCATTTCCTGCAAAGTTTGGGTTCTCCTGTGCACGCTGATGCCTTCCTATCATTCGTTTGTTGCTTTGTTTTGGCTACAGTTTTGTCTGAATTCACCACCTGGGTTTGCTATTAGAGTGACTATGGTCAAGAATCCCTGGCGGACATCTCTGGGAAGGAAGAGCAATGTTCTTGAACAGAAGAATCCACCTTCCGTTTCTTTTTACCTGGAAAAGCAGCAGTTTTGTGTCTGAATGCAGTTTTCTCCCCCTCCTCACTACCCTAATATTAATGTTTGAGCCAGCATAAAGACAGCCAGACAGCTAGAATTGGTTGTCATGGCAAACAGGCTGTTTCCCCCTGAGTTTTTGCAGCTTAGTTCCTGCTGCTGATACATATATAATTTAAAAGCTGCAACCTCCAACTTGCAGAAGTTAGCATGAGATACTCCTAGGGGGAAATTGCAGGGGGGAAGGGCCTGGAAATAGGATGGAGACAAAACGTGAGGGCAGGAGAATGCTGGTGGTTGGCAAAAAGTTGTCTCAGTGGTTCTAAGAAAATGGGTACTGATCTCAAGTGTGCTGAATTGTGTAGATACACTGTTGTTTCTGTTCTTAGTAACATTTATATAACACTTCTTTTTCAAACAGGCTTACAGCTCAAAGGTGTTCTCCCATGTGGATCTTAACAACCAATATTTGTTCTCACCAAAGTTTAGACTCCAACCCATGGAAATGCCAGATCTACAGAAAAACAATGAGTAGTAAAACTTTCACCTTTCTTCTCTGGGTATTCCACATGATATGGTATGTCTGATTCAACAGCCCTGTCTCCAAGGGCTGTTGAATCAGACACAGTGAACCAACAGCCAGGAGAGTATCTCTTGAAAACCTGTGTCGTCTGTCTTGATTTCATGGCTGTTCCCATGATTTGCAAGATGGTGTTGGTTCAAACGTCATGACATACTCATGGTCCTGTTTGTACAAACCATGGTTTGGCATTACAGCCAAATGATCTTTCTGACCATTGGCCAGTTCCAAAGCTTCTGCTCAGTTTAGGAACCAAGCAATATCACTCACCCTATTTTTTTTTTTTTTTATCTGCGCTCAGTCGTTACCGACTCTGCAGTGACTGCTTGGACGAGTCCTTGCAG